CCTGCTCGGCCTGCGCGGCCTGCAGCGCCTCAGCCTGGGCGGCAACCGTCTACACAGCATCCCGCCAGACATCCAGGGCCTGCAGAGGTCAGCGCGGGGGGGGCTGGGTTCCTGCTTTAAAGGAGGCGGCCTTGGGGGGGGGTGCTGGTGCCCCTCAGTCCCGACCTGAAGCCCCTCCCTCTGCCCCACTTGCTGACCCACAGCCCCCCCGCCGTCTTGTGCGTGCACACACACAGAACAGTTCCCAAGCCCTACACGCAGGTGTGCACAACAGTTCCTAAGCCCTGCACACACACGCAGGACAGTCCCCAAGCCCTGCACATGCAGACAAGCACACGTGGGACATCCCCAAGCCCTGCACACAGGCACCAAGCAGCCCCCATGCCCTGTACACACAGGACAGTCCCCAAGCCCTGCCCACATGCACAGCACTCCCTACGTGTGCATGTACACACACTGGACAGTCCCCAAGTGCAGGGTCACACATACACTCGCACCAGTCCCCAAGCCCTACACATATGCGCACACTGGACAGTCCCCGAACACTCCACATACACGCATAACAGTCCCCAAGTCCTGCACACACCAGACAGTCCCCAAGACCTGACCCTCCATGCAGCTGCTAGGGCTGCTCTCGCCACCCTGCCGGGCTGCATGCTGGCTGCATACATATGTGCACGCAGAGCATGTGATGCCCCTGCCTCCAATTGCTTGCCCCCCACTCCCACCAGACCCAAGCAGCTCCTTGCTAGGGCAAACCAGGAGGTGCAGGGAAAAACTTTAGTGCTGAGCAGAGCAAAATCCCAGACATTTGTTGATGTTTAAAAAAAACTGCCCGGAGGGGGATGGGAGGACCCAAAACGAGGACGGGTCCAGGTAAACCTGAATGTATGGTAACCCTAAGCAGGTGGGAACCCAGGTACCATGGTACCTGCTTAGAACAGGGCCATCTCCAACCAGAGCAGTGGTTCTCAACCTTTTTTGTCCTAGTAAACATCAGTGGCCAATCCCAACCCAGTAAATAGTTTAAGTAGCTAGTCTCCTGCCAGCCCGCGGGTGGAAATGGACAGTTTTCCATGTTTTTCTCTTTTAAAAGAAAAAATCTGTGATTTTCCACATTTTCCTATGACTGTGCGCAGCCCTTTCATATATTCTCGCAACCCTCTGGTTGAGAAACACTGAACTAGATCAACCCCAGCCAGGGCTTTGTTGAGCTGGGCCTTCAAAATTTCCCAGGATGGAGATCGCACCACCTCTCTAGGTAACCTGTTGCAGTGTTTCACCACCCTCCTAGTGTGACACTTCTTCCTAATGTCCAGTTTAAATCTCCCTTGCTTGCCCTTGATGTGATGGCAACTGGACTAGGGGAGCTGGTAGCTAAGACTGTTTCAGAGTCCCTGAAGTGCCAGCCCTAAGTTTGAGTGCCTCTTCAAACCCTAGCTTGAGAAGAAGTGTGACCCTTCCCACACAGTGGCATGGGCAGAGGAGCTCCAGGGCTTGTCCTTATGAGGGGGCAGGGAAACAAAGGGTGTTGCTTGAACTTGCTTTTTGAACTGCATGTGGTCACATCCAAGCAACGATGCAGCACTCATGTGATTTGAAGGCCTGGACAGGCCCCCCTGGGCTCAACCTAGCATGGTGACTTGTGTGAAAAGTGCCAGCTGCCTCATCTGATATGAGGTGAGCCCAGGGAAGGTAGTAAATGTTTCTCCAGCAGAGATGTGCTTTGGGAGTGCATTTCAATTGCAGAGGGGAAAGTTTGAGGTTTTAAATCTAAACCGTTTGAACCTTATGACATCTAATACAGATGCTGCCATTTAATGCTACACCGTCAGTGAGGTACCTTGAGGTAGCTGATACTTTTAAGTCTTTTTCCTAGTATAGCACACCCCACTCAAACAAAAATCACATCAGTAGTTTTGCTGCTGTATCAGGGTTCCTACAATAATTAGTTGTCCAGTTGTAAGTGTCTTTTAAGCATTACTACTCCCAGAGTTTCTCCTTGTCATCTCATACATTTCAGATTAATTCTCCAAGTTTAATATCTGACTTCATGCGGGTTGCTAGTGTTGTGGTGTTTTTCAGCAGGTGAAAGTTAGAAAGGTCAATGTTGTAACTGAGGTTTGTTCAGGGAGAAGAGGCCATCCCAGGGAAAATAGGATTGAGAAGAGTGAGGGTGGGGCATTCATTTGACATACACAATGTTCTTCAAGAAAACATCCCAAATTTTCACTTAGTTATAGGGGTTTCAGTGGGAGTAGGAGGAAGCCTCAAACCACCTGTGGGCTTTGTATGTCTGTACAGCACAGTGCAGGTGGGAGAAATCATGTGTTGGTTAATCTGGTAACCCAGGTAATATTAGCAGCGAAAATATGCTGAAACAGTCATTAGTATGTGCTGGTGACCAGAGCATAGAGCTTGCAACAAGGACCCTTATTCTTTCATTATACTTAGAAATTCTAGTGGTAGTCTTGTATGTACTGAAAAGAGATAGGACTTGGAAAAAAAAAAACAGGGAAAAAAAAACAGGGTGGATAAAAATCAATGATTTTTTAACAAAATTAAAAAATGCCCTGCTGCCACTTGCCCCCTTCTGCCTGGAAGCAAGCTGCGCCTGCATCCCGTGACCCCACGCCAGCTAGACAAGTGGCAGCAGGGCATGGTCCCTGCTCCTGCGCTGCTGTGTCCACATCAGTACTGGTAGCCAGGACTCTGTGTTGTTGCCACTTGCCAGCTGGCCCAGGAGAGTAGGCACTACTCTCACCATGTGAGGATGCAGGTGTGGCAGCACTGCGAGCGGGGGCTCTGCCGTGCTGCCATTTGCCCCTTCTGCCTGGAGAGAGCCATACCTGCATCCTGCCCCTGCCTCCCTTCCTTTGTAACGCACCCC